CAGCAATCACATTGTATTCAGCAGGTGCTGGAAAATAACCAGTCACTGTACATTACAAACACAGAACACTGAGATCCCTTCACAACCACAAAACCAATGACTGAGTCTCACACTGGCATTCGCTCATAGTCTGTGGACATTCACTGGGAAACATGAATCAAAGAGAATTACTATCCCCCTAAAACAAATGAATTGGCATGTCATTCTAATGTTTAATTGAAGAAATTAATTTTCACACAGTGATTAATGAACTCAAAGGTGGTTTGGGATAAATGGAGTCAGACTGATATATTTCATTTTTTTTGTATATTTCCTCCGTCTCTGTCCCCTCTGCCCATATCTCTCTTCTTCCCCCATCTTCCTGTCCTTCCCCCACTCTTTCCCCTCCCTCACCTGCCTCAAAAAAAATGAAGCATGTTTGTATCTTGCAAAAAAAAATTGATTGATGGGACATTAGTTTTGTCAGGACTGTGTAGATATTGTGTGAGACTTGCCACAGGTATTATTGTGCACAGGCATCAAAGACTTGAGTGTGCCTACTTGAGAGATTGAGGGATCGTGACTGCTGTTCAGTGTTCCCGTGTTTGTGAGTGAGAGAAGGAAAGGGATACTGATGTGAGAAAAAGAGGAGTGTGACACAGCTATGAGAGAAAGAGAGGCGGGGGGAAAGAGTGGACCCTGATGTGAGAGAGAGGGGTGTGCCACTGATGAGAGAGAAAGAGAGAGAGGGGGGGGTGGGGGGAGTGGACACGTGTGTGTGTGTGTGTGTTTGAGAGAGAGAGAGAGTGGGGGGAAGTGGACACTGGTGTGGGGGGGTGGGGGAAGTGAAAGAGAGGGGTGTGACACTGCTATGGGAGAGAGAGGGAATGACACTGGCATGAGAGAGAGAGAGAGAGAGAGAAAGGTGTGTGACACTGGTGTGAGAGCCAATACCCTCTCTGAATATTATATTCCTCTATATGCTTCCTTGATTTTAAAGTTGTCTCTTAACTTTTCGTTAATACTGTCACAAAATCCATTTCTTTCTTTATGTTCAAGGCAAAGTACTTTGCAGATCAGAGAGTGCCTCTGGGTTTCATGCTGGGGAGCTCTCATGCATTAGCTGTTTGTGAGCAGACAACTTAATCAAACACACAAACGAAGGAAGTAGAAAAAGCCATTCAGATAAGTTCAGCATCAAAAGCTGTGAGGACCTGCACACATTCATAACATCCAGGCTCGACTATGCAAACTCCCTCCTTGTCGGCCTCCCCAGTAACTTCCTCCATAGGCTGCAGATCATCCAAAACTCCGCAGCCTGTTTCCTCTCATGCACCAGGCTCCGCGACTCTATCACCCCCATCCTCGCCCGACTCGACTGGCTTCCCATCACAGAGGATACAGTTCAAGATCCTGGTCCTCACTTTCAAAGCTCTCCATGGTCTTGCTCCCCCCTACCTCTGCGACCTCTTAACCCCCTACCAACCTGCCTGCTCCCTCCGCTCAGCGGGCTCCGGCCTGCTTCACATCCCCCGCCTTGCTCGCCCCACTATTGGTAGGCGGGCCTTCAGCCACTCCGACCCCACTCTCTGAAACTCCATCTCACGGTCCCTCCACCTCCCCATCTCCCTTGCCTCCTGCAAGACTCATCTCAAGACAATCCTCTTCGACCATGCCTTCAGTCACCCATCTTCCCCCCCAATCTCCACCCTCCCCGATCCCGAGGTTGGGTCCGAAACACTGATTGTCCAGCGCTGTGGAATGTCCTTCCAATGTGAAAGTCATGTTGTTGTTGTTGCTCTGACAATGACAGAAAGGAGGTGGAGGCCAGGACACTGGACTGAGTTAATAAGCTGCCTTGGTGCTATGATAAGGGGGACATTGAGGTGAGTCTTCTGGAGGATGAGATTGGATAGGCCAAAGAGGCTTCTTTATCTGAACAATCTTATGATCTTGTGATCAAGCTTTGAATCTCAGGTCATGCAAAGGGGTCCGCATCATTCAAAGAAAAAAACACCACAAAGCTCCTATTCAGAAGGTAATCCTAACCAATCTTGTACATAGACACGTTAACAAATGCAAGGAATATTTTTGTGTGACTCCCTGCTCACTTCTACAGTGCAATGTCGTGTAGTCCTCCAATGTCGTGGAGTCCTGTAGCTCAGTGGTTAGAGCACTCGCCTTGCAAGCGAGACACCTGGGTTCAATTCCAGGCAGGGTGAAACCTTGGGCAAGTTTCTTTACTCCACACACCTAATAATAATCCCTCCAAAACAAAACAATAATAAATTGGTCATTTTTCAATCCACGACTGTTTGTGGGACGCTGCTGTGCACAATTGGCTGCTATGTTTCGCCCACAAATATATGGTCAATTCACTTTAAGTCTATTCTGTGAAGCGCTTTGAGACGTCGAGAAGACGTGAAAAGCGCTATATCAAATGCAAGAATTATTATTTATTATTATTATTATTATTATAATGTCACCCAATCTACCAATATTAACCAGAAATTCAAAAATTTAAGAATTAGGTGAAATATGTGTGTAGCATTTACCACTCTGACTAACTTGACACGAATATGAGGGTACATGAGAGGGTAAGCCTGTATCCTTTGAAAGGGCACTGATAGGACATATTCTGCAGACAGAAATATAACTGGTGGTGATCAGCTTCAGGCTAAGTTGTACGACAAAGATGGAAGGATAGAGGTGCTCACACCTCAACCAAATGATAATCATTTTTGTTTGTGTGATAATTATCTCAGGCTCTCAGTTCTTGAACATCAGCCACCTGTCAACAGCTAGACACAGGCTAAAATAACTTCCAGACTGTGACCAGCAAGATTAGAAAACCTGCAATATGGGGAGTGAAAAACCTCCAATCTCATCAAATCATTTGACAAATAACAGTTTGAACAAAATGTTATTGTTATTGCAACGCTTGCAAGACAAATTTAAAAATACATTTGCTGCTTAAATTCCTTGCCTATAGCAGAACCACAGTAGAATGTTTTATTGTGCTTGTTATTTTCTGCTACATACTCCTTGTCAAAAAGGCAACAACAACAACAATAACAATTTATATAGCTCCCTCTACGTCATGGGGGGGGGTCACAGAAAGTTTAACAATGGTGGAGCCCGATGCCGAGCCAGGGGGAGGGGGAAGGTGACTATAGCATGGTTGAAGATGAAAGTCTTTAGTCACAACCTGAAAATGGGGAAAGAGGGGGCAAGGCGAAGGGATTCAGGGAGGGAGTTCCATTTGGGGCATAGTGGCTGAAGGCATGGCCGCCGATGTTTGAGTGAAGGATTCGAGGGACAAGGAGGAGGCTGGAGCCAGTAGAGCGGAGGCAACAGGTAGTGCTGTGAGGAGAGAGGAGATTGAGAGATAGGGGGGAGCCAAGGAATGGAGGGATTTAAACACTAGAGTATGGATTTTGAAATCGATCCGCCCTGTGACAGGAAGCCAATGGAGTTTGGCAAGGACTGGAGTAATTGGGGTACGGAGTTTAGTGCGGGTGGAAGTCATTTAATCATAATGAGAAAAATGATTGTGTGTTATTGCAATTGAAGTGCTATTTCACTAAACAACAATTAAATACTTGTTGTGTCCCAGAGCTATTTATTACTCATAGTTAATGTATAGTGAATAATATCACTTGCCCAACCTATTGCTCCTGTTAACCAAGATATAGGTCTATCCCGGACCAGCAGCCTGTGTAGAGCCCATTTCTGTGGCAGAGGAATACAAATATACTCTGGGAATCCTGCCAATACATCTCTTCCCAAGAGCTGGTTATATATAATCCAAAATACATTCATGAAGCACTTTGCACATCAGGAAGATGGCAAAGCATGTTACTCTGCTAGCTGGGTATCCAACCCAGTGGTGATTGTGGGGGGCGAAGGATGTCTGAAGACGGTGGGGAAGGGAAAGATGACCAACAGCGTGGTCATAAAGGTGAGGCCATTGAGGACAACTGACAGCAAGGCAAATCTTGTGCCTGTAATACATGCTGCTAATTTATCAGCATCAGCAGTGCTGGCTGGTTGTCTGCACCACATGAGGCACCTCAAGCAGTGTTTTATTTTGTCAAGGGCATGTTACTCTCTGTTTTCCTCTCCTCGTTTTCCTCCCTGGGAAATGCACATCCCTGAGGTTGAGGGGAGGTCATGGGCTGCCTCTGAACCTGGGGCTTTAGCACTTCAGAGGCTCACAAGCTCATAGATGAGATCTGTCCCTCTGATATTCCTACCTTCCCTCTGCTCAGCTCTCTTAACAACAGCACCACTAACCTTGTGAACTCGGGATGAGGGACTGAACCCACATGGTGTATATTCCCTCTCTGCATGCCCGACCCCTGGTCTTAGTGCTGCACCATCCAACCACATCCCTTCTATAAATAAAGGCTGAGAAATACCGCTTTACCGCTACATATAACAGCTCCGATATTGCGGAGTTCCGATGGGATTTTTCCACTGCAAGATCACTTTGTCAAAGTCACAACATCTAGTGTCAAGAGGAATTACTGGTCCAAGGCTTTTATATGCTATAAGACATTCACTCTGGGAGATTTTTCAGATCTGTAGTGAACCAGTGGCATAGTCTCTTGTACTAACATTTTGTGAAATGTATTTTAGACAAAAAGATACTTATCCATGAGAAAGGCCAAAGAAAATTAATCATCAGAACCACTGGTTGGAGCAAGGCCTCTTTACCTTTATCAGACCAGATCTGGACCCTTCCATCCAACACATTACAAAGGCTACCTTTGCTTTTGAGGTTAACATTTTCAATGGAATGCTTTCGTGGCTGGGTGCCAAGTCACTAAAAGATATCCAAGAGTGTTTTTGGGGTCGATGGCTGATTTCTCTGCAGTCAGTGGTTAAGCTACAGTCAGTGGTTAGACTGCACCAAACAAAGTATGAGTAAGAACAGGGAAGAAAGTGTGTGCGTGAGTTTATGGTACGACTCGATACAGGTGAGCAGGTTAGTCATTGAACATTGTGTTTCCACTCACCTTTCCCATCCCAGGATTGTCCTTCACCTTGTTGATGGCCCTCAGGAGACATGGGGGGGCCGGTGGAGGGGATGTTTGCAGGCTGCCACTGAAGTTGGTTGGGAAGATGGGAGACTCCGACACATATGGGGGAGGAGGGCGGTGGTGCTTCTTCTTCTTGGAAGACAGGTTGAGTTTCTGAGCAGCTCTGGAAAAATAAAAGGGGGGAATAGATTAATGCAATGAACTCCTGATAGCTGAGCCAGAGATTCAAGATTAGACCATACAAAACAAAGTAAAGCAAGAGTTAAAGTTAAAGCCACCTCTGCACTTCAGCATTGAGGAAACAAACGTCGTTTCATACTACACGGCACCTCAGCTTCAGTAGAAATTAGGAATGTGGTAATAACCCATCCTGAGCTTCCACAACAGCAACAACTTGCATTTCTATTTTTGCCCACAAAACGCATAGTTACTCCTGTGAAACGCTTTGTGATACTCCTGACATGAAAGGTGTTAAACTAAATGTAAAGATTATTATTATTCACACAGGATAACATCTTGGAGCGCTGTACAGTGATAGGGCTGGACTCTAAGCAAGGATAAATGGGAGGGGAGAGGTGATCCCAAGATAGGTTCAAAGCTTCAGAAGACAACACCAACTGTGAGAGCCATGTTTGAGAAGGGTTATCAATATCACTCCCCCGACAGTTTTACCTGTATTATTCTTCATTAAACATACAGTGCACGAACGAGAAACTTCTTCCTCCGTTAAACAAGAATCAAGCGTTCTTGAGCACTCTAATGATTGTGCTTCCTGTCATTGTACCAAATGATTCATAACCAAGCAATAATATTCTACAAGATTCAAACGGCTTTGGGGGATTTAGTTCACATTTTTATTCTTGGTCTGACACACGCGTGAACTCATCACCACAATTAAGAGTAACCCAACCCGACTCAAGAGTTCTGCATAAGTATGTCACTTACACATGTGTTTCACGTGGAATGCACACTTTCACCCTGAAGGAGCACTCCCTATTCATTTAATCCCAGAAAGTATTAGGTATGAGTTGGCAAGAGTCCAACAACACATCGCAACATCACAAAATTTAGGCCATTATTTCTAAATAAAAGTTAATAAACCTATCACATCCATGAAACGATCTAATATTAAACCCTATAACCCCTTTTTCTACCACTACAATTTTGGACAACAACTTACATTTAAATAGTGACGTTCAGAAAGGATAGTGTTTTGGAGCGCTGGAAAGCTTGTACAAGTTTTACTGGGGTATAACTAGCCTCATCTGGAGTACATTCACTCAACCATGATTTAGACATCAGATATCACAATAACAAGGCCAACTGAGAGGTGCTCCTAATGAGTGTTTGCTAGTGTGGAGAGCTGCTGGGATTTTTGCTTTCTGGTACAGGTCTCACATTAAATGTGTGATACAAGCATATCTACTGAGACCAGATTCTATCCCCCACCCCCCACTCCACACACACACGCACACACACTGATAGCAAGCCTGTCAGCATGAATAGAATTGAGATTATTATTGCTGTTACTGAGAGTGAGGTGAGTGAAAATAAGTTGATTTGAAACAGCAAAAAATTGCTTCTGTGAAAATAAATGAATGGCTTTGGAAAATATATATAATAATTCTTGCGTCTGGTATAGCATCTTTCACATCGGGAGCACGTCCCAAAGCACTTTAAATGATTTACTGTGAAATGGAGTGACTATGTGTATTTGTAGGTCAATGTAGCAGCCCAATTGTGCCCAGCAGTGTCCCACAAACATCCATAAAATGAATGACCAATTTTATTTGGAGGATTGTTAGTTAGAACATCAGGAGAAACTCCCTTCTCTTTTCGAAAAATGTCATGGGATTTTTAACGTCCAACTAAACGGGCAGACGGGATCTCAGTTTACAATACAATACAAAATTACAATCGTGTAGTGCCTTTCACATCGGGGGGATGTCTCATCCGAAGGACAGAAACTCCAATAATGCAACAATCTCCATTGGAGTGTCAGCTTAGTCAATGTTAGTTCACTTGTGGGCCTTGAACCCACAATCTTCTGACTCAGATGAAAGAGTGCTATCACTGAGCCAAATAGATACACTAATATGTACATATATAGAGAGAGAAGAAGAGAGAGTTTTCAATTGCAGAGAATAGTCAGCTTGGCTCATTTGATGGCACTCTCGCTCTGAGTCAGAAGGTAATGGATTCAAGTCCCACGTTCGAACTTTGAACTGATATAGTGTAGGCTGACAGTCCAATGTGCAGCATTGTTGGGAGGTCTTTCGGATCAGACGTTAAAAACTGAGGTCCTATCTGCCTGTTCATGTAGATATTAAAGATCCATGGCACTATTCAAAAATAGAAGGGAGTTTCTCCCATGTCCTGACCAACAATCCCCCAAATAAAATTAGTGATTCAATTAATTCTTGGCTGTTTGTGGCACATTGCTGTCCCAATGTATTTATAAAATACACAATTCACAGTTGGCTTGTAAATCGCTTTGAGAAGTGATCCTAATGTGAAAGAACCCAAAATTGCATTTATATAAGATTCAACGTATTCACTACAATTTCTGACTCACTACATTGAAAATGCTACAGAAAATGCAAGGATTACTCCAATAGTATTGAGGTGCATCCAGTGTCTTTAGTATTGTACCCAAGCATGAATTAGTTTATTCAGAAGAGGGATTGAAGGGGTGGGATCAACTCTGCTGAAATAAATCTAAAAGCTTTGTTATAAATGTTCTCCTGGTCAAACCAGCACTCGGTACTAAAAGGGGTTAAAGACCTCAGACAATCGAGGTCACTCAAATCCACTCGAGTTGAATGCTGGCCACACTGAAGGAGGCTTTTGGTCTGTGAAGAATAACTGAAACACTTTTGGACTAGGGAGGTTACAAATTAAATGGCTTCTTTGAAACAGATGTGTACCATTTAAAGGCCTGTTGAACATATCAGCTTAGAGTGCTCGATGAGCGGTAAATAAAATCAGCCGGTTATCATTAGCCCAATATAGGAAAGGAGAAAGGGGGGGGTGAGGAACTAAATAAGGTTGCAAGGAAGATTAATTTAATCAAACATGAAGATGTGTCTCAATTACTAGGCTGGTTGCTTGGCAACCTGGTTTGTGAAGCACTAAGCAGGACATCTGTATTTTTGCCGTGCCATGCGAGAGATTCAAAGCAGCACGCTTAGGTCATGTCAAGGAGCGAGGGTCTGAAATGAAATAAATACAGCAGTAACTTATAGTAAAAATGGTTAGGAACCATCAAGAGATTTGGACATAAATCTTTTATCTATTGAATAAGTGCATCGACCAGCAGGATCCTTTTTATATATAGGTATATTGAGATGTTCATCCTACATGAAAGGCGCTGTGTAAGAGCAAGTTGTTGAATGTATGTGATTAAGATATCAGCCGGACACACAGGGAGCTTTCAGACAGCTCACAAGGATGACAAGGCTGGGAGCTGAACGGCAGTCTTGTGTCCTCCCAATGTAATCACTATCGCTCCAGGCATCGTTCCAGACCATCGTTTCATCTTTTTTACTCTGTTTGGAGCAAGGGCATAATTTCTGAATCACTTGAGTAATCCCGGGTTTAACGAAAGCAAGGAGAAAACTGACAACTTTTGTTATAAAGCAAAATGAAAATAATCTTCTCGGGTGTGTTGGGAAGGTATGAAGCGCTAGGTGCTTATGACTGTCAGTTGCCCACTCTTCTCCGAGCTCAGCTCGGGGAGCAAGGGGATAGACAGATAGATAGGCGAGTCCCGAGACATTGAGATCGACTTTATTAATGTTAAATGGCTTCTATGAAACAGTTGTGTACTCCTTAAAGACCCGTTGAATAAAGCAGATGGTGATCACACCTCCTATATCCTCTCCTCCAAAGCAAAGCTATGCAGCTCGCAGCACAGAAGAGAGTTCCAGAAATGCCACTCGAGCACACTTGGAGCCTAAATTCTCAAGCAGAGGGGACGTAAATGAGCTTCTGAATTGCTCTGGTATCAGCTGTTTGCTAGATAGTCCCTTTGACTCACTTCTGCCCTCAACTCCTTCATGATCTGCTCTCAACCACTACATCCCAAAACTATGGAACTCACTCTCTCAATCCCTCTGCCTTGCCCTCTCCTCCCCATTTATAAATCTCGCCTGAAGACCTTCCTCTTCAATCATGCTTACGGTCACATACCCCTGGCTCGATGTCAGGCTCTGCCACTGTTAAGCGTTCCAAGACTCTATCCTATGCGAAGGCCGCTAAATAAATGCAAGTTGTTATTGTTGTTCCCCTGTCTCAGCCCCCCCCTCCCACCAAACCCCACCGTGCATGTCAATTTTAGTCTGGAGTTTCGTCCACATATTCGCATTTCAAAATGATTCACCTCAGCACTATTGAGTGATTGTGCAACACATGAAAGAAAGCTTCGCTACACACATTTTCACCATGAAATCATCCCCTCCCATCTACACTGACTGGCGCAGAGATACGCGTCTCCCAATCATTGGAAGTGCCGTCGTTCAGATGAGAGGTTAAAAAGTCTGGTCTGCCTGTAAAGGTGGATGATAAAGATCTCATGGCACTAATTGAAAAGAGATGTGAGTTTCTCCCGGTGTCCTGACGAATAACCTCCAAATAAAATTATTCACTTACTCCATGGCTGTTTGTTAGACATTGCTGTTTGCAAATTGGCTGTCAAGTACACCTACAAATTCACTTTATAGTAAAATTCTGTAAAGCACTTTGTGACATCTCAACAACGCGATAAACCACTGTATCAATGTAAAAATTATTATTATTATTATACACCGCGAATGGGCATTTTCTGCCTTATTTGAAGAAGCACCTTTGTGAAAAAGTATTTGCTTGCTGAACTTTCGTTACTTGGGAGAGTATGGTGGATCACGTGTCACTGTTATGTCACGTATAATCGATCCTTTATTGGGGGGAGTACAGAGATAAGATATTACAATGAGATCACATATGGTCAAGTTTAAGTTCATATTTGAGCTGAAGAGTGAATGTGCTTGACAGGTTGAATGGATGCTTCATTTTCCAGGTTGTGTTTTGCTCATCTAGGCTGTGTTGTGATGTGATTTGATACCATCATGTTCTATAATAATAAATAATAATAATTATCCTTACACTTGGTAAAGCACATTTCAC